TGTTGAAACTGTCACATATAAGCTTGAAAGAGTTGAGAAATGGTTTAAACCAGTGTAAATGGCCAATGGAGAAGAAACCAGCATCGAACTGGTATAAATCGGCCAAAAAGCAGTTTTATCAGAATAGAATATGAACCAGCCTCAATTAACTGTCAATCGGATTGGGAATGGCTTGAACTGGTCTACGTGCATGTTTGTTAAATCTTATGAGTATTTATAAGTTGGTCAAACTCTATTTTTATATATAAATTTCGTAGAAGCAATTTTTACCTAATTTTTAGTTACACATTACTTGAAAACCACTGTTTTATAAACGCATCTAATATGCGGTGAATGTATAACCTTGACACTTCTTAGCAATTAAAGCCACGAAGAACAAAATTTCGGCATAATACAGCTGATAAGAAGACCAAGATTTAGCAAGAACCTTGCTCTGACAGGATGAAATTTTTTTGTGAAATTTCATATATTTCACTGTGAAATTCTGGATGGAACAACAAATTAATAGATAGGAAAGAAACATCATCCTCAAATTTCTCCTCAACCATGCCCTAACTCTCTCCTCTAATTATGTCCTAACATCTATTCTCTAGTTATGCTCTAACATCGTTTATAATTAAGATTGTTAGATTTATATATTGTATTGGTGATTCTGTGAACAAAAGGACCAACTTGAACAATTATAAAATTTTAGGGACTGAATTGTAAAGTTTCATAGTTGGTAGGTTAGTTTAGGGTTCGGGGTTTCATGTTTGGAACAAGAAGGACTCCTGCCGGTTTTTCGCTAGCTGCTCGCCGAAATGATGCTCAAGCGGATGAAACAGAGACACCATCGCTCGACCTTCGCCCACATGTTGCTCGAGTGACATGCCCTTCGCTCGAGCGAAGTATGATCCTCGCTCAAGCGACCATGTTTTTCGGACAGACCTAATTTCGATTTTTGAGACTTTTTCTTGGCCCATTCAACCTAATTTGTCCAACATATAAATAGAGGCGATGCGTTTTTTGCGAAAATAGATTGAACGCATTCTATTCAAGAGAGAATTCATCATACACAAGATCAAAAGTTCAATCCTGCAATTCAAATGCGCTCTACTCATTGAAAACATCAAAGCCATCAAATCAAACACTAAATTGGATTCTTTGCTCGAGTCTGCTGCAAGATTGTTTCGTCAACTTGGCTGCGTAGAAGATCAAGAAAGAATTTGAAGAACGAGGAGTTCTTGGGGAAGATCTATAGGAGATAAATTGTGTAAAGAGTCAGGATTGGAGGTCGTGTGCTCATTCCAAGAGGACTGTTTTACTAAGAAGAGTCAGGATTGGTGTTGGTGTGCACATTATAAGAGGGCTGCTTCAAACTTTAGACAGGAGATCAGAAAGCTTGTGTCGTCAATTTTGTTGGTAGTCTGTAAATTTTATCAACGGTTTATAGTGGATCTTTGACTGGCAAAGTGCCCGAAGTTTTTCCTTCGTTGGGTTTCTCCGTGAACAATTCTGGTGTTGTTTACTGCTTTCTTTACTGTTTTGATATTACTGCGGTATTCAAAGATAAGAAAATCTGAATTGGTTGACTAATCACCTAGACATAATTAACTTATGACTTGTTGCTTGTTAATTAAAGTGTTAATTCCGCATTTACACCTAATCACCCCCTCCCCTTTTAGATGTAATAGGGTCGAATCTTGCGTTTCTCAAAGATAATTAGTCAACTATATGATAATGCAATAAAATATTAACAGCCATTTTCCACAACTGCATTTTACCTTTTCAAAGTCATTCATCAATCACAAGAAGCAAAAATCAACACCGCATTAAACACTTGCTATCTGATAAATTTTTAGTTCAATCTTTTTACCCTGATTCCATTACGAATAAACTGCGTCAAGACTACACCCGTTGAATTCTTGATTTATAACGAAAATTTTACAGAAAGAAAAGAAATGCACAAGTGCCCTTGAAAGGTCATTTTTCTGTGCCTAATTTGTTCTAAAGATCATGATCTCTCAAGGTGGCTTGTGCATCCATTATAACTTGAAAATCAGACAGATATTATTCGATCTTGATTAATCAGACGACTTCAAGATTATGATCTGCTGATACTTGATTTTGCTCCTGCGCCATCATTTTTCTCATTTTCGTAGCCCACTTGATCCACCCCACAACATGGTCATATAACCCAAGAGCAATGTATATGCCAATCCCTCCAATAATTCCATTTGAGATGGAATAAGTTAGAGGCATTAGAATCATGGTGAAAAATGCTGGCACTGCTTCCTTAATATTATTCCAATCTATATCTTTAACTACTTTCATCATCAGCACTCCAACCATTACTAGAGATGGACCTATTGCCCATGGAGGTACACTAGTGAGCAAAGGAGTGAAAAACAATGATAACCCGAAATATATTCCAATGATCACGGCTGTTAATCCAGTTCGACCGCCTTCTCGGATCCCGGCTGATGATTCGATGTAGGTGGCGATCGGGGAAACTCCTAGAGCCGACCCCACAATTGTTGAGCCAGCATCTACCATGTATGCCATGTATTCCCCTTCAAAACCTCCTTTATCATTTACGAAGCCTCCAATTTCTGCCATGGTGTACAATGTACCAGTGGTGGCTAGCACGTCTACATATAACAATGTCACTAGAGCCACCCAAACTTCACTCCTGTTGAAGTTAGTGAAGCTAATTATCCCTGCAGTGGACTTAATTTTATGGAAATCAATCACTTTTTTGAAGTACATATAAGTTGATTCTCCAAGTGGGTTATTAGGAAAAACTGTCACATTAGTGCCTCTAATCCATGAAATTAATGTAACAGTAACTATGCCATATATCATGCTACCTTTAATATTCTTCATTAATCCATAAGACATGATTAAGAATCCCAATGAGCCAAGCCAGAAAGTTGGGCTTTGCATTTTCCCTCCAGTGCACTCCCCAGTTGCTGGATCTGTGCTCTTGCAAGCAGTGATCGTTAGCAATGTTGACGGGTCAGGTCCGATCAGGCCCACGCCCTGGTGGGCCTGTAGGCCAACAAATGCAATGAAAAGCCCAATGCCTGCAGCACAAGCCAGACGGACCGGCTGTGGGATGAACCGAGCCAACTTTGCACGAAGCCCAAAAACAGCAATGGCTAGAAATGCACAGCCTTCAACTAAGACTACAGCCATAGCAGTCTTGTATGAAATGGACCCAGACCCATGGAAGCCCACCAAGTTGTAAGCCAAGTAAGCATTTGGACCCATACCTGGTGCTAGGCCCAATGGAAGGTTAGCAAATAATCCCATGGCAAATGAGCCAATCATAGATGACAAGGCAGTAGCAACTATAAGGTCATTCTTGATCCTGGAAAGACAGTTATGGTAACCCTCATTAGGTTTTAGCATGCAATCTGGACTAGCAGTTTGATTCACAGGCACGGTACAGTCTGAAAACGAACATGTCCCACCGGAGTCGGAGAGGATGGTGGCGTTGACAGTTATAATATATGCCATGGTGAGAAATGTGGCTGTGCCGGCGCGCAACTCTCTGCTGAAACAGCTCTTTCTTTCCTCTAACTTGAAATACCTCCCAATGATGCTCTTTGCAACTGCTTCATCTATGCATTTTCCCATTATTTTCCATGGCTTGCTTATTTTGTTGCAGAATCCACCACCAATTCTAGCACATATTTCTCTCCCCATCTCTCTCTAGAGTGTTTGTTATGCAATCATATAATTGAGGAGAATTGAGTGATGAAATTTTGTGGGATGCTTTGTGTTTATATACATAAATAAAGCTGCCTATGTGATATTATATTGGTCTAATGTGCTTCATGCGGGCTGACTTTCATTGAATGTGCACCAAGGAAAATTAAAAAAAAAAATCATGTCTTTTGAGGAAATTGGGTTGTTGCTAGAGATGGCAGGTATAATTAGTGGATTGGATTTATTATTATTATTTTTTTTTCAAAAAATTACTTTAAAATCTTATATGTTATGACATGTAATACGGTTCTCGTTCATAAAAGTATTTTGATACCTTTAGAACGTGTTAAAAGATGTAATTGACCAAAGTCAATACGACCTTGTCAAGTTGCTACGGATTTAATTAATTTGAAATCTTCACTAAATATATGACTCAATTGAATGTGATATTATTGACTTGGATGGATTGAGAATAAAATTTTTAATTTAATTTAATTTGCTATACGAAGATTTTTGCAACCATAACAAATTTTATTGGTCCATCAACAATTTTCGATCATTTTGATTGATTATTTCTTGACAACACTTCATGACTATTAGTCGTTTGATTAGGGTTAACTTGTTATGTTTCTTGTTGTCGGAAAAAAACCTGAATTTCAACTGAACAAGTTTGGGAAGTACGTATTATCTGTTTCGATTATAAACGATCTAAATAAATAAAAATTAGTGATGAATAAATGGACAGTACATAAATGAACGAAAAAGTAGCTCGAGTATTTATAAATTGTTTACAACCATAGGTATTTTTTTCAGGAAAATAAAAAATGAGATTTCAAAGAAATCATTTGTGTTAATAATTGTCATTATTGCAACTCTCTTGTTTAGTTGATATTCTTGATCCTAGGGTCACAAACGGCTATTTAAAATTAATAATAACTCCAATTATTGGTCACCCTTTTATTTAATATAACAGATTAATTGGATACTAAAAGTCTCATCATATCTCTATTTTGTCTCCTATTTCTTCTCGTATATAGAAAAATAATGAAATAAGTTTTAAATTTAGAAAATAAATATAAAATAATAACAAAGCCAAGAGTTCAAGACTGATTGAGGGTTGGCAATTGACTGGTTTGGTATTAGTCCTTGTCAATAAAACTTTGACCAATTGATGCCAAAAGACAATAGAAATGTCTTAAACTTTATTGATTTTGTGACATCCACCAAAAGTTGTTCCTTCGATGTTTTTTGGCCAAACCCACTGAAATAAATGTACTTTCACGACACGAAACGTTTGTTGAAAGAAAACTAGATTCCCATTTCATGGAATCCTAACTGAAGAAAGAACCATGCTTCACGTCACTTACAGAGTACTCACACATGTCGGTCTCGTGCATAATTTTTTTTTTTAATACATGGTGGGACCCACTCATGGGAGTATTTTGGTGAACCCCTGCGAAAATAATCCATGTACGTGGGGATTCATTCTTGAAGAAATTGAATCCAATCTTCGAATAGCGTTTCTTATAATTTATTAATTAAATTAAAATTATTTCTGTATTATAATGATAAACAGCCATTAAATTTCTTTGCCAAATAAGATATTTCACGATATTGTCCAACTGTTCGTGGGGCACCAAAAACCAGCAGTCATACATTCTTCATCTGTGCAGCGGCTAAAGTTGTATGGATTGAGTCGAACTTTGATCTACTGTCGGTGAGAAATGCTTGGTGTACAATCATGGATAACAACTTTGTTTACCATATGTCACGGGACATTGAACAGTTTTAACAAAAAGTTGTTTTTGCAGCCAATAGTTTTTCGCCAACACGTCAATTGTCAACAAAATTTGTCATCCATTGTCATCTTTTAAAGAAGCACAAATAATACAAATGGCAATTCTTAAGAAATTGCAAATAAAGAGATACATTAAATTTAAATTGCAGAGATTCTTATTTTATTTAAATAATATAAAAAGGGAATAATAAGGGTAAAATCCATTAATAGTCATCCAACTTTATACTTAGTGTTATATTGGTCACTCAATTTGATTTTATTTTATTATGACAATCCAACTTCATACTCGGTGTCACATTAGCCACCTAATTTCATTATTTTAAATAAAGTTATCGAGTAGCTTGACTGAAATTAAGTATGAAGTAGAGTGACCACAGTGAAACAAAAAGTACGAAATTCAATGGTCGTGGTGAAACAAATCAAATTGCATAGCCAATATGACACTAAGTATGAAATTTGATCGTCATTGAAATCAAGAACGAATGAACGATGAACCTCGTGAAATTGCAATTTTCTATTATTTCATCATATCATATTCATTCTAATTTAATATACTTAACATATTATCAAAAGTGTTTAAAATATTATATAGTTTATACCATGTATCGATATGTTCAAAAAACTTGCATTATTCCTCGTTTCTTGTAAGATTCTAATCACTAATTGATAGAATACAGATTAATATAATATTCTTGCTTTTTTTCATTGGACAGAAGAAAGAAATTTCATTAAAGAGGATGACACAACTTTATTGGAATATGCAAAAGGTCAGTGGTAACCACAAGGAAAAAAAATGAAAATTAATAGGGACTATTATTCATACAATTTTTGTAAGGAAACTTTTATTGCATGCCTAAATCACTTCATTTTTCTAATGTTGTTGTTACTTTTGATCCTTAATGGGTTATTCTTTTAAGACAAGTACGTTTGAATTTTTTCGTGTTTTCATTTGCTTAGTTCAATTTCTATTGATTTCTTTCTCTTTTCTTGCTCACGAGCACCAATGGGTCTACTCGAAGCATCGAATCACTTGCCACGATGCCACGACTAGAAAATGCGCTAACAATGACGGAAACAAGCAATGACATTTTTTGTCGATGAAGAATTTTTTTCGTCACCAAGGGTTTGTTTTGCTAAGCTTCAAAAGTTTATGTATAAAATGAGTAATTTTTTTAATTGATCAAATGAAACATAATTAGTTTTTAAAAAGTTAATTCTCTGGATGGAAGGTTTAAGGCTTGAAACCAAACAAGGATGACTCGTATATGTATAACCAAATTTGGTCACGAGGAGGAGAAGTTTCCTTAAGTTAAATTTGAAGGTACTATGCGCGGACGCAGAAGTTTAAAGTTATGGGGCACAATCGAACTTGCAAATAAGTTGGGAGAAATTTTACAATCGAAAATTTACATCCAAAAAAATCATACCCCATGTAATTTTGTATCTGAAAAGTTACATGAGATGTGACTTTTTCGGATGTAAAATTTCGAAAATTTTTGATGTCATATTCCATATAAAATTTCCTAATAAAATGATGAAAATTACATTGTGAAATTTGTATCGCAAAAATAATAAATGTTAATAAAATAATTGAATTTTTTTTATT